GAGGCAGGATGAGTTTGGGGCAGAGAGAAGAGGCAATACACAATTATGAACAACCTGAGCAGGTCGCAGGGTGTCAGGATCCTGTCTCTTACTCTGTCACAGGCATGTGCCGTGGCCTATGCCAAAATATGCTACACCTCTGTGCTTCAGCTTCCCAACTGCAACCAGGGTATAGGATACTTCCTTTTGTATCATGCCTATCCTTTTGGAATCAAGGAGTCTACGGACTATCTTTTACTATATGCACATGCAGGGCACTGTGTCCCCTGTGTGCTATTGCAGCACAACTTAGGAAAATGGCAATCCCATTCGTCTAGAGGAGAAAAGTGTCTCCAGCAGGTCTCTGGCTGCACTCCCTCAGCACTATCATAAATGGGAGCTCACCTGATGTCTGAGACAATTCAGCTGTTACCACAAATCCCCAAGCAGAAACTATTAATTGTTCACATCACAGTGCTAAAGAAAGGGCTGCTTTTTAAGGTACTGAATCAGCTGTACACATCACTACAGAAAGGCTTAAAAGAGAGGACATTTCTATAGTTCAAGGACGCAGAAGAGAGATAGAATTGTTAGTATTTATTTGCATTAAGTGCCTGCAAAAGTTGTCAGTCAGAGTTGAGATTTCCCAGAAATTTTGGGAAATCCTGCTAAGTCAACATGCCATTGGTGTTCCCCCTCTGAAAGCCAGAGCAGCCCACCCAAAGGGACTCAGGGAGATCCCTGGTACATGTGCTAAAACTATTTGAAACTGTAAAGCATCAGCTGAGGTGAGCTTTGCACAGATAGAAATGGGAGATTCAATAGAAGAGTCACTGCCTGAAATCCCGAGACATGTACCGTAGAACAGATCAGAGCATAAAACGTAACCATCTTCTGCGGATGTCTGAATCACAGCCCCATAGGCCATTGCAACAACACTTTTCTGGGTGAGAAGGAGGGTAATCCTTAAAATTTCCAGCCATCCTATTTTAACAAGTGGGTTCTAATTGTAACCACATTACCCAGACAAGAAATCCAAAGGCTTTACCAAAAGTGATCACAACATGAACACTCAGTGTTTGCTGTTAATGACACAATGAACAACCTTGGAAACTCAGGAAAATGGCCATGCTGACACTCAGACTTGGGTATTGCCTTTAGACCAGGAAATTGGCAACATTGATAAGAAAGGCTTTCACAAGTTATTGTTATACCAAAAGCCCTGTGCCATTTCTAAATACTTCTATGCAGGTCCCTTTTGACCTTTACATCCTGAAGAGACCTAAAATTACTGACCTCATATGCAACTATTTACTAAAAGATAGTTCCTCTTTCTATTATTTCTTTCTAATCAAACTGCACCTTGAGGTCTGGTGTCATTTTTTAATTAGCACCTAAAGATTTTATCCAATGAAAAATCCACATGCCCAGAGCAAGGCTTACGTAAAATCAAGGTGCTTATGTTCAAAACATGAACACTAAGCCCTTTGCCTGCTCCCCTCTGCACCCCACCCCAAATTAAAAGGTATTTTCCTGTTTCAACTGCAAGCGTCCCACGTGTCCACAGTTCCGCACCACCACACGTCCACAGCCACCTATCCTGTGGCCAGTAGCAGCAGGACAGGGAAAGGCAGAGGAAGGTTACTTACGAGAAGGAGCAAGGCTCAGTAAATGTCATTGCATCTGCTTTGTCTTCTATTAGGAGCTTGACCAGCTCCCTTTACCCATCGCAGGGACAACACACCACCAGGGAGAGAAAAACACAGTGAATGTCAATCACAGACCAGCATGCTCTTCATTCCATCACACCTGCACACACAGGGGCTCCTGCCTGGTGGCACAGATCCTGACCCAGACACTAGCATAAAGCCAAATCAGTTTGGACATGAGGTTTCCTAGAGATGAACTTCTTCAGAGATCACCTTCTGAGGGAACAACCATGAAGCGTGAGCATGCATGAAGGACCCAAGCTGTGTTCCCTGTGATCCCACCAACTCCTCTGACAGAATGACAAAGCACTGGGAGTCTTTTAAGTTACTGTTGGTGAAAGCAGCTGCTAGGCTGCTGTAATCTGTGCAAGAGATTTGTCCGCTTTTCATGAAGGTCCTGTATGGAGGTGGATAGGTATATGTGAATTAAAAACAAAATACACCTTTAGAGCTTAAAGGAGATGTTTGTGGTGATGATGATGGCTCCACTTCGCAAACAAAATTTTGGGAAGGGCTTTACCCACACTTACTGCAAACACACTAATGACTAAAAAAAAGCCAATGTGGGATAGGCAAATCTGGCTGCAAAAAGTGGAGGCAGCACTGATGGAAGCGTTTGAGGAGTCAGAGGTGATGGTGGTAGATAACCCATGATTCAGACCCATATAAAAGAGCAGACATGCAGGGTTGGCTCTGCGAATTCCAGTGCACCTTATCACCTGCTGTTTTGTCCCTCGCCTGTCGCTACAGGGCTTTGCAAGTGTGAGTAAACCCTTTGGGCCTGTGCAGTGGATTTTTTAGGTGAGGCACAGCATGCGCAGAACTGGCCCCACCCTTTACACCTGAGGTTTATCTGCCAGGGCCTTGTGAGCTTGGATGGTGACAGCAAAGTCCTCAGGTCATAGGTTTAATTAGAGTATCCTTCTCTTAGATGGATGGCCTTACAGGGCTACACGAGCTCCATCTGCCCGGGTTTGAAGTTGGAGTTGTCCTTCTCCTAGGACGGTTGCCTGAAGGCTGGTGAGCCCACCCTGCCCATGGACTTTGTCTGACCCTTCACTTGAGACCTGTCTGCATGGGAGACCTTACCAGAGGCATATGCCACCACCAGCGTAACTCTCAACCTCACAAAGGCAAGCAAGCTCTTTCCCCATGACAAGAGGGTGTGTGTGAAAGAGATGTTTGTAGTTTAGCACTATAACTATGTAACTATGTTTATAGCATAATACTATGAATATACCATGTTACAGACCAAACACTTTTACATGTTACATGTCTGTGTGCCTGATGATGCTCCTGTGAGTCTCAGCAAGAAGCATGTTGGTCTGATTTAGCCAATTCTCAGCCTTTCCAATTAGTGGGGATTGAAATAAGTTTTTTAAGAAGGCATCTACTTTCATTTTCTGTTACTTTTAGATCACAACTCAAAATTAATCCAGGATACTTTTAACACAGAAACACTGTGAGTAAAAGTAATCAGTGGCAAGTCTACAGCAGGTTAACTGCAAAGGTAAGTGAATAAACATGGTTGTAATTCTGAAAAGACAAGAACAATACTAGTGACAATCCATGAGGATGGTTATTTTTTTGTTACATCCTGTAAAAATCTCCAGTTTTAACGTATCACTTTGTTTCTGGGGAATTTATACATTTATGGGTATTATAAAGCTGTAGACACCGCATGTGTTGTGTTTAGCTTCATAAAACACATGGAGGGGAACTGCAGATATCTATACAAGGTGCTTTATATTCTCTGTTTCTTTCCTGCTGAATTCAGTGCAGCCGGGCAGATTTTGCCTCCCATCTCTGCTGCTGAACCAGAGCTTTCATAAAGCATTTTGGCCAAGGTGACAGTGGTTTTCTTCTGAAATACGCACATCTCTGGAGTCATCCCAGGGCTGAGCCCCTGACATCCCTGACAGCGCTTCAGCAAGAAACCCCTGCTAGAAAATGACAGTGCTGCAGACACAAAGGACCACAGGTAGGAAGGATCACAAATCCTGCAAGGAGCAGGGAGTTGGATTCCAGGATCCTCATGGGCCCCTTGAAAGTCGAGATACTCTGTGATTCTGTGAAGGAGCACCTCTGCAGTCTCTAGGAGCCACGTAACTATACACCATGCTGGCAACAAGGACTGTTTTCCTTTTTAATACAGCCTCTGCCTGCCGAAAGCACAACTCCACATGCAAGGCTGCAGCTACCCTAAAAACCCTACCAAGATGATAGCATAGTGCTGTCACTTGAACCATCACACAAGCCTGTTACAGTTGGATTCCCAATAATGTGCATGGAGCTGTTCAGGAATACTGGAAAATCTGGGCACTGGAAAACAGAAAAACTGATCACAGAGAGAAAACCTCTGTCATGGGTGGAGCACAGTGACCTCACTCACTTACGTGCCACAGAAAAATAAACTTCAGGTACCATTTCACGTGTGCTGCCCGTGGTTCAGCTCCCAGACCAGTAGGCACCAAGTGAAGTGTATCAGCCTTTACTTGAGACAGTATCACTGAATGGTAACAGCAGCATGTTTTATTCTATCATTTTCTACTTGAACACATCAAGAAAACTTTATGAGCTCTTTTTTCTCTAACAAAAGCAAACATACATATCTGGTGCAAAACACTGTGTTTACATTAAATCAGAACAAAGAAATGTTAATTCTAAGCAGTGTTTAATTATCACACTGACTGCAAGTATGTGCACCTACGGCTGCACACATGAACGACACAAGTGCAAACTGTAAACACTGTGGATGTGAAATTCCATGAGAAAGGCCTAAACTTCTCTGTCCGTTTTCACACCCGCCAGCTGCAGTCACTGGCCTCTGAGTTACATTTTCCTGCTCAACTGAGTGAAATCTCTGGGTAACACCATGCAGAGTAAAAGGAGAAGCTGTGGCTGCCCCAACCCTGGCAGTGTTAAAGGCCAGGTTGGAAGGGGCTTTGGGCAGCCTGGTCTACTGGAAGGTGTTTCTGCACATGGCAGGGAGGCTGAAATTGGATGGGCTTTAAGGTCCCTTCCAGACAAAACTGTTCTATGCTTGTATGAAACTACTGAGGGCGAGCTGTTAACTCTATAGCCACAAGACCTCTGTGTGAAGCCTGGCGACCACTGCAGTGCCCCCCTCTGCCGCGCTTCTCCCTTATCTCTAGCCTCCAGCGATGGGGGAAAATCCGAAATACTGAAATACCCGTTTTCAAGGACAAAAAGAGACGCCGGGGGATGGAGGGAGATCCCCGCCGGCCTGACTCTGCTTCAGGTCCCGCTCCTCCTCTCCCGGACACGCGTGTGCGTAGTGGCGGGAGCGTCTCAGCGAGGCACCCAGCGGAAGCGGTACCCGCCGGCTTCTGTGCGAAAGGTGAAGGCGCTGCCCTGCGGGAAGGCCAGGGTGCGGATGCCGCCCGCCTCGCCCAGCGACGCCCGCAGGCTGCCACCGCCCTGCAGCTCGCCACCGCCCTCCAGCTCCCCGCAGTCCGGGCGCAGTGCGGCGTGGGAGGTGAGCAGACCGCGGAAGGAGCCGTGCAGGCGGGGAGCCGGCCGCGCCCGCTTGGCCGTGGGGCTGCTCCCCGGGCTGCTCCCCGGGCTGCTCCCCGGGCTGCCCCCCAGGGTCCGCAGGGCGGCGCGGCACTTCTCCGACACGGCCCGCAGCATGGCGTCCACCGCCGCCGCCTCCTCCCGCGGCTCCGGCTCACCGGCACCCACACGGGGCGCGGCGACGGGAGGAGGAGGAGCATGAAGAGGCGGAGGAGGAAGAAGGGCCGCCCCGTCTGTGCGATGCGGTTGCATCAGCGTCTGCCGGAAGAGAGAGCGCGAAGTCCGCAGGCTGCACCTCACCGCGGCCCTGCACCGGCCCGCAGTGCCCTGTCCCGAACCTCAACACACAGACCCCGACCCCCACTGCAACACCCTATTCCACAATCCCGCCACCGTGGAGCTGTCCCACACTTTACCACTCAGCCTCAACCCGAACCCTGTCCCCACCGCACCGTCCCCAGCTACTAGGCAACTAGGCCAAATGTTGTGCGGGCAGCACTTACATCGAGGACGGCAGCCAACTGCCTGGCCTGGCTTGCCAGCTCCTTCAGCTGCACGTTGCTCTCCTGCAGTGCCGCCAGTTCTTCCTGCCTCTGCGTGAGGGTCTCCTGCAGCTGCGCAGGGCAGGCGAAGACAGGGCGGATGGGACAGCCGCACCACCCAGAGGTGGGGAGATGCTGCACACCAGGGCTGTGCAACACCTCAGTAGGATGAGAGCACAAAGAAGCCCAGCGCAGGCCCGTGAGGGTCCCTACCTGGCTGTTAACCTCAAGGGCATCTCCCAGTGCTTTCTGGCCCTGGTCTGCCAGGTCCCTCCAGCATGGCTCCGGGGAAGGTGGGTGCTGCAGGGGCATCTGTGCCAGCGGCATCTGTGCCAGCATGCTGCTCTCCAGCTGCGGGGTGCAGCAACCAAAGGCCACCTCCTCGCCAAGTGAGAAATCAAAGTCGGTGCAGTCCAGCGATGATGGCATTAAGGTGGATGTGTCTGAAGGGAACAGCCACAGGTGTTAAGACAGGTATTCAAATCTTCTTCCCCTTGACCGCAGTACACACATTCTGGTAGGTCCCAACAAGCATTTTCTCCACTGTCGCAGCTGTACACCTAAATTTAATCTCTTAATTTGGCTTTAAATTCTTTCCCCCATGTGGGAAAGCTCAGTGCCAGCCCAGGTTCCCTTAACGGGGTGTACAGAGTGCATGCTGCTTAGACTGCCGCAGGTTGGGAATCCTGAGTAGGAACCCAAAACCCAAAATCAAAGCAAACGAAAGGGAGACAGAACTCAGTGTGACTGTTGACATGCACATGCAGATATGTTTGGCTCAGGTAAGGAAATATATCTACTCGCCAGATATAAAATCATCCATAGCATCTCTGAACTCCTGGAAATCTATCTCTGGTCCATCCTGGAAGTAGGGACCCTGCAAGAGGTGAAGTTAATATGCCAGTGAGCAGCTCCGAGGGCTCATACCTTCCTGCGCTGCCCACTGCTGCCCATAGCGCTCAGACACAGGCTGGTGCCTGTGCTCAGCACCTTCCCACAGCCCCAGCACCCCTGGGTGTTTGTCTCCTGCCCTTCCACATCTAACGAGTGGGTCAAGACACTGTCCCCCACTGTGCCCGTTTCACAGGGAGGTAGCCTAAGGCTGCCAGCACCCACCACCTTGAAGGGACCACCCCGCGGGTGCCTGTGGTGGGGGCTGCCAAGCCTGCCCCAGCTGGGGGTTACCTGCTGCAGGGTCACGGGGCCGGCCGGGGTGGTGGGAAGGATGGGGTCACAGGCTGCCAAATCCTGCCAGTCGATGGTGGTGAGCGCTGGGTGCAGTGAGAGACAACGGTGAAGGGCCCGGGCAGGGATGGACACAGCCAGGGCGGCGCGGCTGAGTGGGAATCGCGGCCAGGGTGCACCTCGATGGGCACGGTCGGGGGATGCAGGGCTGGGGAGCACGGTGGGGGCCGGCGGACACTGGCGGGGGTCGGGGCTGCCATCGCGGACAGACTCACCGAGGGCGGGTGCGGAGGAGGACGGCGGGGCGCCGCTGCGGCCAGGGAGGGACGGGGGCGCTCGGGGGCTCGGGGCGGCCCCCACCGCACCCCCAACAGGCCGGGCCGACTTCTTGGAGGGGCGGGCGGGCGGGCCCGTGACCCTGTTGGGGCAGATGCTGCCGAACGCCCGGCGGCGGCCGCCCTGCTCCATCCTGCCGCCGCGACACCGGCACCGGCTCCAGCCCCGGTACTGGCATCGGCGGACGATGTCCTGCCCGCGCCCCGCTCGGCGCCGCCCCGCGTGCAGGGGCGCGGGGGGCCGGGTCCATGCCGGGGGCTGCCCGGGCCCGGCTGCCCTCCGCCGGAGCGCGGAAACCTCCCGCCCCCTCTCCGGACCGCGCCGGCGGCTCCCGCGCCCGCGGAGCCCTTCCCCGCGCCCGCGGAGCAGGGGCGGGCGGAGGGGGCTGTCCCGGAGATGCTGCCTGCGCCGCTGCCGAGGACACTCCTCCCCGGCCCGGTGTCATCAGTTCCCCCCGTCCCGGTCCCTGCCTGGGGCTGGGCGGGTGTTTGTAAGGATATTTCCGAAGCGGCAGGGCCAGCAGGGGCCGTCAGCGGCGGAAGAGTAGAGTGAGGACAGGAAAATCCCAAACCGTCCTGCGGCATCGGGACTTCACTGAGCCCCGCACCGGGAGCGGGAGGGATTGTCCCCACCTGGGGGTCCCGCACCGCTGTTACTCCGAGCCCGACTGAAATCAAGGACGGGGCTGGAGGAGGCTAAACCCGAGGCTCCCGCGATGGGTGCTCCGGTGGTTCCCGCCCCGCAGCAGCTCGGGCGGTGCTGCTCCTGCTGCCCGCGGCTCTGGCGACAGCCGCGGGTGCGTCTGTGCGGCTCCAGCGCCACAGCAAAGCAATGGAGAAAGTGCAGTTCTGTGACTCTGATGTTCCCCGTGCTACAGTGCCACCGTGTTTGGAGCATGCACGTGGGTTACAGACCTGCTGCAAAGAGTCACCAGTCGCCTTGTTATCTGGCGTTTTGGTGTCTTACACTCAGACCCCTTCATCTATTTTATCTATTTTCTTTCCCCGAGCCGTGATCCAACCAGAGAGAATCAGTCTGAAACGGTGAATGACACCACCGGCTACCACTGTTTTCTGGAGCTGGAGCTAACTGCTGGGCAAACTCGTGTGTGTGCTCTCCCAGCAAATAAACGAGAATGGGTCACGAGTAGAAAATAGTTTATTCAGCGTTTATTCGGTCTTTCTGCAGTTATCTTTATGGACCATCCTCCAAATAGATAACACAATGTTATCCATGTTATTTACACGCTGGGGCTTAAGAAACAGCAAAGGGAAAGTGCAACTGACGGACAGTAACATCATGTGCAAAACGTGATCCGACTCTCAAACGCTAACGATCAGTTGATCAGACTACACCACCTCTACAAAGCACAAACGGCGAGCCAGCACGAAGTGCCCTCAGCCAAAGCCGAGGCGGGCAGTGCAGGAGCCGGAGGTGCCGGTGACAGGCGGTGCGGTGAGTCAACGGCCGCCTCGCAGCCAGGGGCACTTCTGGACCACCTCCGGGGGCAGGAGGAGCGGCAGGGACTGCCCGTTCAGCGACACCAGGAGCTGAAGCTGCTCCATGCAGTCCCGCAGCAGCTCCTCCGGGTAGCCGCTGACCCGCAGGTCCAGGGGCCGGCGGTGGCCCAGCAGCCGGTCCGCCAGCCCCAGGCTGCCGGCGGCCAGCAGCGATGGGGCGTACCCGATGAAGGCGTAGTCCGCCAGGCTGAGCTCAGAGATGCCGCCCGCCAGGATCCGGGCGTCCGCTGCCTCCGCCGCGTCGGCCCCCTCCGCCTGCAGCCGCACCTGGCTGAAGTGCTCCAGGAAGAAGCTGATGGTCGGCGCCGACAGGTCGAAGCCCAGGCGGAGCAGGACGATGCACTCCAGGTTGCGGAGCTGCTGGACGGTGAAGGCGCCGCAGCACAGGGCGAGAAGCTCCTTTAAGCTGGGGGGGTGCACCTCCACCTGCAAAGGGGAGACGGGAGGAAGGAGCGGGGGAAAGGGAGATTGAGCCTGGCCCAGGGCTGGCACCGGGGCCGCTTGGGGTGGCCGAGGAGTGCCGCAGAGACTCGGCGGCGGGGCAGCCCCACCTACCTGCTTGGAGGCGATGAGCAGCGCCGTCACCCCCAGGAGCTGGAAGCAGTCTGCGGCCACGGGAGTGGTGGCGAGGAAGCGGTCGAGGGTGTTGACGGTTAGGCAGAGCGCCTCGAAGGAGAGCCCGAAGTGCCGGTGCACAGGGATGAGCCAGCTCACCAGCTTGCAGCGCGCCTCTGCCGTCACCTGCGGCATCGGGAGCGGGTCAGGCGGGGCCGGTACCGCGCTACCCGCGCCCGCCGCCCCTCATCGTCCCCGCTGCCCCCCACCTGCGGCTGCCGGGCAAGCGGCTCCCGCGGCTGGAAGCGGCTCTCCAGCCCCTTGCGGGAGCGGTACCAGCTCTCCCCGTAGTCGCGGAAAGCCTGCAGCTCCTGAGGGCTCTCCGCCACCGCCGCCGCCGCTGTGTCCGTCCCCGGACGCCGCCGCCGTGCCGGGAGCCGCGGGCAGCGACAGGGGGAGCCGCGGGGTTCCCTCCGTTGCGGGGTGAAGCCGCACCGCCCGCTCGCCGCCGTCACCATGGCGGGGCGGCCCGTGCCGGCTCGGCTGCGGGGAGCGGCGGCGACCGCGGCTATTTGAGCGGCGGGGCCGGGACCGCCCGCCCCCGGGCACCCCCCTCCCGCCTGCAGCGGGGCGGCCGCTTGGCACCGCCGGGAGCGACGTCTCCAAAACAGAAGGGGACCGAGTTACCAACCTCGGGCTCTTCAGCGCTTCCCGCCGGGCGGAACGGCTGAGGAGGAGCCGCCGCGGGGCTGAGACCCGCGGGGAACGGCTCCGAGCACGGTCACTCACTGGAAGGGCATGTAGGGCACTGGGCAAAAGTGCCGCAGTACCCGCCTCTGGCAGAGCCCGAACTGAGCCGGCTGGAGCTGCTGCATCTTCTTTTCATAGAATGGTTTCGTTGGAAGGAACCATAAAAGCTCATCTCATTCAAACTCCCCTGCCATGAGCACCTTCTACTAGAACAGGTTGCTCAAAGGCCCATCCAATCTGGTCTTGAACACTTCCAGTCTGACCTCAACACTTCAGAGTTTAAATGAGATGAGCTTTATGGTTCCTTTCAACACAAACCAGTCTATGGTTTGGTTATATGAGCCACGGATCAAGTCCACTATAGATGAGGGAAGACTTACGGAAGGAAATAGAAAAGCCCTCCTGGGTAGAGTGACAAGTAAGATGTCAGTGGGAAAAGGAGAGGTTCAAGCAGTCTATTCAACAGTAAGAGAGGAAGGGATGGAAACTCTGCAGAGGATAGCAGGAGCAGTAATCATCTGCAAGGCGAGGGGACAGAGAGCAGCAGGACAAACTGCCTTTTGAAAGCATACAACCTGCAGAGCACTGTTGCAACTGCGGTAAGAAAGATCAATTGATACTGGTCTTGTGTCTGACAAATAACTTGAGAAAAATAACAGAGGTGTTAAGAGATTTATTAAATAAAAAAGTTAATCTACCCAACAGAGCACAGGCACAGAAGTTGTTCACACACACTGCAGAAGCAGAAAGAACCGTAGTCTTTTTCATTTGTGTTTAAGATAACCACACTGCACACCAGTGTGACTCATTTCACCTGGTTTGCAGAAAACTTGCTCACTCAGGAGTGTGCAGCTTCCTAGTTATTTCATATATCCCCTTAATAGTAACAGAAAGAAGCAATTTCTTTAGAGGATTACAAAGCAGGGCATGCCAGAGGAAGACACAGAACATGTCTGAATTTCAACCTTACCATACACAAATTTATATGCATCACAGTTAAACAAGGGAAAAATCAAGGAAAATTAACACTTTCACTACGGTTTAGCCATTTAAAACCAACTTAAATGCAAAAGTCAAATCCAGAAGAAACAGGTGCTTGTCAATCGGTGAATTACTCAAATGTATTTCTAATTCATGTTTCCGAAGGACACAAATAAAAGACCTCAACTAGAACAAAATCTAGAAAATCATTCAGGGTCTCCAACGAATGTAGTTTGCAGGTTTTAACTCCTATGCCTCTGACACGAAAGAAGGATGTGTCTGGGCATAGAGAGTGCCAAACTGAGGGCTCTTCTAGGAAACCAGGAGAACCACTAGTTTATCACAATTAATAAAAAGACAAAGTTACCAATTTTTCAGAGTTCATAGGAAAATACTGTTAGGAGAACTTGCCTCTTCCAAAATTGAGTGCAGCGTACTATGCCCAAACTGGTTTACTTTCAGCTTATGTTTCCCTCTCAGCCCAGCAGTACCAGTTCTGCTGTCTTAC